TGGGCACTCTTTAAACTTGATGCAGTGCTTGACCCGTCAGTTCTAGCAAATTTGTCACCTGAAGAAGCGACAGTGTATGTTACGGAGCAAATCATAAGTGCCGCCCAAGACGCCATTCCTCGCACCTCCGAAAATTTACCCAAGAGGTGTAGGCCTTGGTGGAATGAAGACTGTGCCACCGCAAGGAAAAAGCAGCATAGGGCATGAGACACCTTTCGGAGGTACCCTACTCCTTCAAATAAGATAGAATTTAAAAGACTAAAAGCAAAGGCCCGATGGACTATGAGAAAAGCTAAGTGGAAGTCCTGGACCAGGTATATTTCTTCCCTAAATAGTTTTGTCTCAGAGAAGGAAGTTTGGGATAGGTACAAAAAAATCAAAGGGGATTACCGTTGCTTTGTTGTTCCTCTATTTAGCTCCCCTGCTAACTCGCTGAAAGATGTTGCTAATGTGCTTGGACAGCACTTCGAAAATGTTTCCAGCTCCCGAAATTATCGGATGGAATTTAAACGTTTTAAAGCAAATGCAGAATGTCACCGTATACCCATGTCCGGTTGTAGCTCTGAGCCATTCAACACTCCTTTTACAATGCAAGAACTAGAGGTGGCTCTGGGCTCCAAGAAGAGGTCGGCTCCGGGCCCTGATGGAATCCACTATGAAATGCTCCGTCAACTGTCTCGAGGATCGCTCAACACACTACTAGATTTTTTTAACTATCTGTGGGAAGCAGGCTACTTTCCTCAAATGTGGAAACAGGCGCATGTAATTCCTTTGCTGAAAGCTGGGAAGGACCCTTCGGACCCCCGTAGTTATCGTCCAATCGCGTTAACGAGTTGCCTTGGCAAAACCTTTGAACGCCTCATTAATAGGCAGTTAATTTATATTTTGGAGCATAACCACTTCTTTGCTAATAACCAATGTGGTTTTCGAGAAGGGCACTCTACTTTGGACCACATAGTCCGCCTGGAAACAACAATACGTGAAGCTTTCATAAATAGGCAACATTGTGTCTCTGTTTTCTTCGACCTGGAGAAAGCATATGATACGACATGGCGCTATGGTATCCTTCATGATTTATATGCCTCTGGGGTGCGTGGTCGCATGTTGCGGTGTATAAGCAGTTTTCTGACAGGTCGCTCCTTTCAAGTTCGACTCGGCACCACACTATCCGACCAGTATGTCCAGGAAAATGGTGTTCCGCAAGGAGGTGTACTGAGTGTCTCCTTGTTTGCCGTAAAGATAAACTCGTTGTCAAAGGTAATTCCACCTTCCGTTTCATACTCCCTCTATGTGGATGATATTCACATCTCGGCCTCTTCTTGTAATTTGTCTAGCTGTGAGCGGCAACTGCAGCTTACCATCAACAGAATTAGTAAGTGGGCTGACCAAAATGGGTTTAAGTTTTCAGCTGAGAAGACTATCTGCGTGCCATTTTCTCTGCGTCGGGGGCTGTTTCTAGATCCAGAACTGACACTAAACAGGGTCCCTATTAGTGTAAAAACGGAGCATAAATTTTTGGGCATAACGTTTGATAAAAAGTTAAACTTCGTTTCCCACCTGAAGAACCTGAAGAAGAAGTGCCTTAAATCAGCTAATATTCTTAAAGTCTTAGCGCACAAGTCATGGGGATCCGACAGAATATGTCTGCTACGCCTGTACAACTCCCTTATCCGGTCACGTCTGGACTATGGTGCTATAGTTTACGACTCAGCAAGGCCTTCTGCACTTAAAATGTTGGATCCTGTGCATCATCTCGGTTTAAGGCTCGCTACAGGTGCCTTCCGCACATCGCCCATTCCTAGCTTGTACGCTGAATCTAATCAGATGTCACTTAGGCACAGACGACGTTATCTTGCTGTGACTTATGCTTCCAGAATTTTGTCCTATCCAAATCACCCAACTTATGGTGCCTTGCAACATTCTCGGTTTGCTCGTCTTTTCGAACATAAGCCCAGGGTTGTACCGCCTTTAAGTCTTCGCCTTGAGGGCATATGTACATCTCTTGACCTCACCCTTGACGAGACCGACCTTTTGCAGAAGGGTGAAAATGAAGCTCCGTGGAGTACGTTGCCCGTCTTTTGTGATTGGTATTTTACTAGATTTAATAAACATAACGTCCCCCCTGTGGTGATTCAACAAGAATTTCTTGAGGTGCAGAAGAAGTATGATGACTACTCCCAATTTTATACCGATGGTGCTAAATCATTGCATTTTGTAGGATCAGCAGTTTACTCTGAAGGATTCAGTAAGGTTCAGCGTCTCAAGGAATGTGCAAGTATTTACACGGCAGAGCTCTATGCAGTGTTGATGGCCTTGGAATATATCCTCATCAGCAAGACGATGAAATCTATTTTATTCGTGGACTCTCAAAGTGTGCTCACCACACTTTGCTCAATAAGGGGAAGTAAAAATAGACTGGCACAACTTGTCCGATCTAAGGTGCAATGTGGTCTGCGGCTTGGCCGAGACATAAAATTCTGCTGGGTGCCTAGCCATGTGGGGATCCTAGGTAATGAAAGAGCAGACGAATTGGCCACGAGCTCTAAGCACCTACTGCCAACCACCTCACAGATTCCATTTCAAGACATGAAGCCCTTGGTGAAATCATCAGTTTTCCGGCTATGGCAATCGGAGTGGAGTCTGGAATGCGAAAACAAACTTCACAGGATTAAACCAGCTCTTGGTATATGGGAGAGTGCATCCCACAAAACCCGCCGCCTTGAAGTTCTTTTGTGTCGTCTTAGAATTGGACATTCCTTCCTCACCCACAAACATCTGCTCAGGGGGGAAGCCCCACCCCTGTGTGATGAATGTGGGGAGCGTTTGACAATTTTACACATTTTGTGGCTGTGCCCAGGGCTTGAGCAAGAACGACGTACACATTTCCCCGAGTTTTTTTCCCACCAGATTCCTTTTCACCCAGCGCTGCTAATTGGCGAGACTCCTATAGTACCATTTGATCGTATCATAAATTACTTAAGAAAAACCGGCTTCCTACTAGAGTTGTAATTTTAACTCTATGAATTTTAACCTTGTCATATGAACCTCTTTTTGATAATTCATATAAAAAAGACCTGAGTATGGCCCAACTAAACAAGCTTGGCGCAGTATGGCCATAGTAGCTTTGCGCCATAAAGCCCGTAATCAATCAACCATCGGGCAGGCTATGGAGTACACAATATGGCATGGGCGAAATGGATCTTTATTTTTCCTGAAAGTACCCAAGTTCATGCCAATGAAGGCTTACAAAATTTTTCAATACGTTTATTTAAGTTTACACCTACGAATGTTCGCATAAAGTAAATTGTTTTGCAACAGTTACTCTTTGTCTCCCCTCTAGCGCCCCCTGAAGGGCGTTCTCGTTCCTTAGATTTTCCTGGATTGCATGTTTGCTTTCCCCGGACCCCAAAGAATCTATCAACAAGGTTCTACGCCTCTCCTTTTAGCGGTGGCTCTTTTTTTTCGAGGTCACTACGGCAGAGTGCAACTTGACGGCCGCGAAAGATAATGATACGTGCGCTTTTGGCACGGTGCAGGCACCTGCGGGCGAGCAGGTGAGTTGGCACTGGAGCTGGCGTTACAGGAATCCTCTAGGAGCCAGCCCCACGGGGCGAAAATGACGAATGTAAAACTGAAAAGGAATGTTTAATGACAAGCGAAGAAAGTACCACGCATCTGGGCGACTGGCTCAAAGCGGCGCATTACCGCTGCTCTCGTACACTCAGTACGTTCGGGAATGTTCTGAACCAGAATGCTCGCCGACAACCAAGAATGAGCTGGAACTTTCCGGAAGACCATTGATCGATGAAATAAAAGCGCCGGGACAAGCGGAATTCGAACCCCGCTCCTCCGCATATCAGCCGCGTGCATTGCGAACTCCGCCATGCACGCGGCAGTGAATGCTGCGTGCGTGGCGCATTCCATTGACGAATTGAATGGGACATTACTTCACGCCGTTCTGACCAGCGAGAACTTATCCATTTGAGGCTACACGATTGGGTAATACCTTGGTGAAAAGTTCTCGCCTGCACCCTGGTGGGGAGAGAGGTGTCACAGCCTCTGGTGTGTCTGTCTCCAGCGTTTATTTGTTCATCTATGAATTTCAGCGTTTATATGGCAGCAAAATGATTTAATATTTGCAAAGGAGGCAGCGAGAACTAGGAGACTGCCAATTTCAGCTTTTTACAATATTAATTTGCCACATCGTTCGGCTCCTAGCAGACGGTCCACCCATTTTTGGTTGTGTTAAAAAATGATATTTTACCTGACAGCAGACAAACCCTTTGCTCGGATTAGCAGGTGAAGGGTCTGCTAATAAAACTCGCTCCATGAGAGCCAAATTAGATTTGACTCTCAAGGCGACGAGCATCGGATCCTTGGGGTCTGGTTAAGGTCAGAATGAGAGCATTCTGGGCCACCGATTGAACGTGGCATTGCAGCTTTCTGCTGGGCGTGCTTAATCGACCAATGAGAAATGCTCGACCTGTTCATGAGTTTACAATCGGCGGAGTATTTTGCTGAGAACTTCTCACTAATGTACAAATGGCAAGAGAGGTCTCGCGGTTTCTGATGAGCTTGTCCCGAGTGCTCCTTCATCCCCTGGTCGATATCAGTTTGTGTACGTCAGCAAAACAACTCAACATTGCCAAGGAAATGTGGTTTGTCAATCACTTTCAATGCGAAATAGTGGACGATCACAATTTCAGCCTGCATCCATTCTCACTTCGCATTGGGACTTGCTTTGTAGCAGACAATCCAACTTTTTTCAGTTTCGTTAGCAAACGACATACAATGTTTCCACATTTTATTTTTGTCGGCAAATGACGCATTGTAGTAGACAATTCCGCTTGCTTTGCTCGCATTAGCAGACAGACCATCTTCTAACGGTTTTGCTGCATGCGAGCTCGATTAGACTTTGCTCTCGCGGTTCCCGAAATGGGACCCCTGGGGCACCGTGGCAGCCATGCAGAGGTGCACAGCAAGGTGCCTGCGCTGTGCAGGAAGGCTCGTGGCTGGGGCCTGCAGGCCTCGCAGGGAGTCCACGCGCTGCCGGGCGGCACCCAGCCCAGGGGTCGCTACATGCTGGCCAGCCACAAGCCACAGCTGCTGCTGCGTGCAGACGGGAGCAGCTACACCAGGGCCGTGGGTGTGTGCCATTTCTATTCACTCTCCAAACCTTGCCTAAGCTGGTCTGACCTATCCTAACCTAAAGAAATAAATAACCGATACTAAACTTCCCTAACTTACCGTAACCTGATTTAACTTGAGCTGTATGGAACTTGGTATCTAACTTATACAAGACTTTAGGCATGTGTGCTCAAATAGTGAATTTTGAGTTTCAAGGGAATGCAAAGGGAATAGTAGGTAGTTTTGGCCGAATATTTTTTTAATCAAATATTGAATAGTGTCTCCAAGCCTTTCACTACCATGCCCCATGCTTAACTAAACGAAAGTTGAGCTGAACTCCTAAAAGTTGTTCCCAACCTTGCACTTGTGTACTTCTAAGCTCAATTAATTTTACTATAACTACCGTAATACCTTGAGAGATAGCCCTCCTGAAGTCGAAAGCAAATCGGGCGAAAATGAGGAGCGTGCTAACTTGAGGTATGCGATAAACAAAGTATAAAACATGCTAGTTTAACATTTTGTTACCTGCGAGACTTGCGATTGTAGGGAGGTACCAAAGACGGATGTCCTCACCACTCAGCAATGTTCGCTTAAATGCTGCCGTGGCTAAGTAACACCATTTCTACCGAGGTCACCATTGGACAAGGCCCTGCAATTACTAGAAGTGGGCTATCTTTCAGTATTTTTTTAGAAATAAGGGTGGGTTACCTTTTGGGGGTGGTGCATCTTTTGGGATATTACAATAGTATATTTATGAACTGTGGCATCTAAAAGAAAAATTTATTGCAGCTTTCCTAATTGAGGGGACTTATAAATCTGCTTACTACTATAACAAAATATTAATTTTTCAATTAAAAGAAAAAAAAAAAAAAGAAACATGAATGATGAACGCAGTAATCTCCGTAAATGTGCTTGTCACAGACCACCTGCGTGCGGCAGGGAAGCAATACCCGCGAGGCCGCAAACTTTGCGGGTAATGTTTCCCTGCCGTGCAAAGGCGCTCGGTGAGAAACGTAAACAGCTGGCTAACCCCGAGATGAACGCTTATGGCGAATTCCACTAATAGATCCAAATCGATTTCCAAAATCTGCGAGGGACGAGAAAAACCGCTCCACGGTGCCCGCTCCAAATTGATGAATGGAAGATGGAGTCGCATTTTTGGAGCGACCCGCTGGAGACCGCCTGGAATTCAAAATGGCCGTTGCTTGAACCTGCCAGAGAAACACGTTGAACACCTTGTAGCAGTCAATACGTCCAGCGTCGCCACCAAGGAAGACAACGAATCAACTCCTTGGCGCGAGCCCAACGGCACGGGGATTAAACAGAACGTTTTCACCTAAGCTCGGAGTCGGTCGCACCATCTATTCCGTCCACAACATGGAACGCGAGCATTCGAATTGCCGTCCCCGGTCCGTAGTGACGGTGGATGGACATCCGAAGCCACTCCCCTGGTCGACATCACTGCCGAGACAGTCGCCAAGAACTTTATCGACATCTGGATATCCCGCTTCGGATGTCCATCCACCGTCACTACGGACCGGGGACGGCAATTCGAATGCTCGCTGTTTGCTGCTTTAGCCCAGCTCCTCGGCACGCACCACGTGCACACTACCTCATACCACCCGTCAGCCAATGGCATGGTGGAGAGGTTACACCGACAGCTCAAGGCCGCAATCACAGCACGAGATGGACGTCTCAACTGGGTTGACCATCTCCCATACGTCCTTCTCGGCATTCGATCCGCCTTCAAAGAAGACCTGGAATGCACCTCGGCTGAATTGGTTTATGGATCGCCGCTCCGACTCCCTGGAGAATTTTTCGATATCACCAAGTGCACTCCAACAATTCCACACCAAGTGTACCTAGACGACTTGAGGCACTTCATGCAAGAACTTAAGCCCACACAACCTCGGATGCCCCATTCTCAGAAGATCTTCGTAAGTCAAGAATTGAAAACTGCCACCCACGCCTTCGTCCGAAAGGAAGTCAAGAAGAAAAGTCTCATGCCACCTTACGAGGGACCCTTTAAGATACTCGAGCGCACCGACAAGACCATGACTCTTGACATTCATGGACATCGAGAAATCGTCGCCATGGACCGAATCAAACCCGCATTTCAGGACTCAAATTCTCATCTTTCATACTCGGAGCAACTTGTAACACCCCAGGAAACCAAGAAACCAAGAACTGTTTCATGGGCCACATAACTCCCAAAACCCTTCTTCTTCTTGCTGCCACCATTGGATCAACTACAATTTTATTTGTATTTCCGTGCTCCATGCTGCCAGGGGGGAGCCCTATAGGAGCCAGCTCCGAGATATGAAATAATTTTTCTTCTTTTTCTAAGCTCGCTGCGCGAGCTTCCTGAGGCGCGAGAATAAAAGCGAACAGTTCGAGCCAGAACACCGTGGAGCTCGGACGTCTTTTCCACACACCTAATAGATTGGCCGGGACTTTATCGTGCTTCAATAATCGAGTGTGGCGACGCAAGAGATGCAGAACAAACATGCGCTTACGAGTTTTGTGTAGTGCCCGCTAGATGGCCACAGTTGCTGCGACAGAAACTTTTGTCATTCTTAATTTGTTTCAAATTTAATGGGAATCAATTGTTGAAATTAAAAGCTAGGTGTCGCCCGATTGAAAGAGCTCAGCCGTCCATCCACCTAGAAGAATAGGAGACAGCACATCTGCGCCGTTAGTAAATTCCCGAGGCGCCCCGAGCAGCAGACGCTCCGAAGCTTGACGAGAGCGCTTGTTTTGAGATGGCCGTTGATTGCAGGGAAAGCTGTGAGGTGCAGGATCATGAGAATGACACCATTTGAGACTCTGTCATCAGGACTCCAGTGGGGATCGACGTCCAACTGCTAAGTTTTTCTCGTTTGTGGAGACAAACCTGCGTTCTTTGCTCAGTTGACAGTCTGATAACGTCGCCTCTCTTTGTGAGAGGCAAATTAGATGTTTCTTTCTCACCGATCGAGATTCGATGACTGGGGTTCCATGTGGGTCGCTGCGAGATCCAATCGGCTTTTCACATATCGAGCTTAATAATCGTCTGCGGACAGTTTATCTGCTAAAGCGAGCGAAGATTGCAATTTGTCTGCTACCAAATTAATATGCGGGTGAAAGCAAACTAGAAAACATTGTTGTCTACCAAGAAAAGAAAAATGCTGATTGTCTGCCACAAATGAAGTGGCGTGGCACAGCGGTGTCGGACATGCCGAAATCGTGAGGCTATTTCACGCTGGAAGCGATCTGCAACCCGCGCTTCCTTTACAAATTTGTATGGCAACTATACACCGGTGAACGAAGGAGCATTCGGGACAAGTGCGTTGGGCGTCTTTTGCCATGTGTGCGTAGGTGATATGTTCTCACCAAAGTGACACCCAATCATGGACGCGATAACCGGCCAAAATTCTTCATTGGTCAGTAACGGTCACCCAGCAGGAAGCTGCAACGTCCAATAGACCATTCTGGAGATGGGCACACTACGACCATCTGGTACATTGACGCATGAAGCAGTACCCATGAATGGGAGGTTCGTGCCAGCATTTTATAATTTCAGGATGCAAAGAAAGCAGGATAACAAAACAGTGTACGTATAGGCTTTGTGAGTGTACGAGCTGGCTGGAGCATACATCAGAACAGCCGTACAATTCCATGCGCGGTGCTATCTGGGGCAGTTTGCTCATCTCGCGGCCGGGGTTGCGATTGAGAGGGATTTTTATGTCACATTACAAACTCCATGGGGACATGGGGACAGCGTCCCTTCCTAATGGCATAAAAATTTGTGTCACTTCGAGTACAAAAGTATATATTTTGCTCACAGAAGCTGACCACAGAGGCTTTTAACTGGAGTCCATTTAACCACCCCTTTATACTGTAGGAGCGGCAGGCAAAGTTACGGCCAGGGAGGGTAAATAGGAGCCAAAATAAAGAAAAAACCACACGAGATAAAAGCGGTGGCAGTGTATTGATATATCTGTGCCAGGGACTTGACTCAGACCGTCGGCTATAGTCGAGAAGTAAGAGAGCCGGGACTTGTTGTCGCAAGGCGAAAGTTCAAAGTTCAAATTGCATGGCTTTTTTTTTTCTTTATGAATTTATATTTTTTTTGTGTTTATTTTGTGCAAGTTTATTTTCTAATCGACTCAACTTCAGTGTGTATCAGTACTAAATAGGCGCCTCCTGTGACTGAAGAGAATTGTACCAAGCGGGTTGTATATTTAAAAACATGAAATTGTAGTTGCTGGGGAAAGGATGCTTTGAGAAAATATGGCAAGGGTGCAGGCGGGCCGAGGAATATTATAACTATGTTGAATTAACCTGAGACTGGGGTAAAGAAACATCAAAACGTAGAAGAGACAGAAAAGAGACGACGTCCTGTCTATTTTCTGTCTCTCCTGCGTTTTGATGTTTCTTCTCCACCCCAGTCTGGGGTTAATTCAACATGGATGCTTGTTTTGGCCCCGTTTGCAAGCAAGTCATAGCGATGCTGTCATCTTGGTTTTTTACGCATCGATTCAACACGTGGGACAAACAACAAAAGCCATGTAAGGCACAGTCGAAGCAAGTGTATGATTTGTAAAAAGGATCACAGTTAAAAAGAAAGACACATGTGCAAAATAAAAAATTTATAAAAAAAAAGAGGTATTTTGAATTTGAAAGTTTTGCACAGCGACAACAAGTCGCGGCTTTCTTAACTTGACTTTCTTAACTGCGACCCGTCTCGAGCCGGATCGCTGCTGCATCCATATAAATAAACTGCCACCTCTTTTATTTAGCGCAATCTTTTATTTTCGCTCACATTTACCTTCTCTGGCCGTAACTTTACCTGCCACCACCGATCTCTATTGTAGGGGGCTGGATAGCGCATGGCCGCTCTCCAAACAGGGCACAAGTGAAGCCTCCGGAAGTTTGATGCTTTTCAAATCAGCGCTCGGAAGTAGGGGGCCTACATGTTCGGAAGCATGTAGGCACCCTACTCGGAAGGGTGACAAAGCCTGCCAAGGCGCTTACTTCGGGGACAAGCCGCTTACTTCCGGTGGCTTCATACCCGTTTTCTGAATGCGCCATCCAGCTCCCTAAAATTGAGATCGGTGCCTGCCACTTTTAAAGTATAAAGGGGCAGTTAATTACACTCGAGTTGAAAGCCTCTGCGGTCAGTTTCTGCGAGCAAAATTAAACTTTTCTACTCGAAGGGACACAGATTTCTCTGCCATTAGACAGGGATGCTAGGTACCTCCCATGTCCCCATGGAGCTCGTCTCGCGACGTAAAAATTTTCCTGTTGGCCGCAACCGCAGCCGCGAGATGAGCAAACCGCCCCTGGGGTCGACGAGAGGCCTTGCAGAATTTTCTGGAAAGGTCTGCCGAGAAGGCTCGCTTTTACAAAGGACCAAAATTGGCCCCCCCGCGACACGCACCAACGGCGGCCACCACTTTGCAGGTTCGCACACCTACCTGGGCATGGACTCGGCCAAGGCGGCCCACGAGGCGGCGAGGCGCCCCTCCGCCCTGCGGCTCACCTCCGGCCTGCCGGGGCACACCGACTGGGCCGCCAAGTGAAGCCTCGCTTCCCTACCCCGTCTCACTACCGGCTGCTTTCCAGTTGAGCCCTCGCAAGGGGCGCTCTCACGCGGCGCTCTACGGGGCGTTACCGAGCGCCCTTCGGTCGTACAAAACGTTGCCGACGACCTTTGTCTCTAATGTTTCATAATTAGGGTTCCGGTATCTAACGGTAAACCCCGAACCCCCGAGCCAGTTGTATCAAAAATAGAAAAAACCCTGAATCAAAGCTGTCAGAGAAAGACACGAGGTCTTGGGAAAGAAATTTATCGCGAGCTTTCTTCGGTGTTCGTTGGCAACTCGGCCTGCACCCAACTCTTTGCGAGGCTTGGTGAACCCTCATCCTGCTTCCTTCTTTCAAGGTTCAAAGTGGTCACACGTGCCTGTCCAGTACCCAAAATAGACGCCCAAAAATACCCAGTCCGAGGGAAAAAATAAGCGCCTCAGTAAACAAACACCGGTAACGCGGAATCCTACCTATAATACGTGGAATGCAGAATTTAAGGGGCCGATTGTTCGAATTTGTTTAATAAGACTCGTGCTAGTTGGTGGACGAGGAAAAAAAAAAAAAAACTCAAAAGCCAGGTAAACACGCGGTAAAAGTTAAAAGGAAGAAAAACGGCTCGTCTCGACGGTATAAACGGTTCCATTAAATCTTTTGTCTCATGGCAGGAGACATCTTCAGTATATAGGACGGAGCATCTGGGGAAGCGGAAGCAGAGAAGGGTAGGAAGGAGGTGACACGAACGCGTGCATGCTTCAATTCGGGCCATGAATTTGAGTGGTGCTCAAATGTAGTGACTATAGGTTTCTTCGTTGAAAACGTGTTATGCAGAGAGAAAAACTTTCCACTAACTCGATCGTGCCGAAAGACCGGGGAGCACAAAATATGTTGCGAATGAGTCGAGCACACGGTGCGTTGCATCACGAGGTCGCACGACGTGACCTCGTGACATACGCGGCTTAATGGAATCGCTTGACCTCGCGCTGTCTAGTCCATCACGAAGAACCGACACAAATTGTTTGCGACGGTTTTTGTGGTAGAATATGGCTGATAAAACACACAGTGTGTTGAAACAATGGCACAACGCACGCTCAGGTTTGCTGGATATGTTTTAGGGTTTTCTCGGAGAAGCTGAAATAGTAGTCCAACGCTACAACCAAGGTGAGGAAAGGAGACCAAGCTAGCTTGACTAGAGTCATCTGGCTTGGATGGGAGGTGGGATGGGGTGGCGAGATTTCATGTGTCAGGGAGCGAGTTTGTGACCTGCCTTCTTCGTGGTAGGTCTTGTCGGGGGTCGCGAGTTTCAAAGAAGCTTTCCTGCGTTTTACGTGCTGCCATCTAGGAGTAGCAGCGTCAACCAGACGCTTTGCTTCCTTGTTTCTCCCCCAGTAGCCCATTTTGCTCGCTTTTTATTTTACCGGAAATCTACGGATGAACGAAGAGCACAATCACTGCACCACCTAAAGACATCTTTGTGTTTCATTGCACACACGCTTATTTACTACCTTTTTTTTAAACCGAATGGCGCTCGGTAACACTTTGTAAAGTTTTGATACTAAGCACCGCATTCAAAGCACTTCTTGAATGTGGTCCTTGCGTCCAAAATGCTTCCGTTTGCCTGCCCTCCCAGGTGTTCCTAAAGGAGGTCATTTCGCAGTCTGTCTCTGCAGTTCACGTCGGCTTTCGGGGTAATCCGGAAGGACCTCCTCCTTTGCAGGGGGGGGGGGGTACCCAAAGCAGACTCCTTGAATCTGGCTTACGCATTCGTGAAATTGATGAGGGCGGGAGTAAAGGCCACATGGCAGCTGGTATCAAGACTCGAACCAGCCCTCCGTTTTGTGAAATGGCCTCTTCGACGAAGTGTTGTGCGAGTCGTCCTGTGACGAATTGGCCAAATGGTAGACTGCTCATCAAATGTAAATGGAACCCGCACGTCTTATCTCGGGGGGGGGGAAGGGGGGGGGGGGGGGGGGGGGGGCTACCCTGGCGCCAGTCGAAGAATGGCTCGGTGAAGTGGCACTCGGTGGAAGCAAGGGAGGCTGCTCGATCGAGGCCAAAATCGACGCTTGACCGTGGGCACCTCAATTTCGACGGCCTCCAATGCACCATATTGCGACGGGGTGGTGAAAAGCGTAGATTGCCGGCAGGAAACATTTGTGCATTGTCCCCGGTCTAGCCTCGATATTGGTCTCGAGCGCCTCCTCCCTCGGACTATTCCAGCGAATGCTACGTCGTGGAGCGGCTCTTCGGCTGCCTCCAGGTTAACGCAGTTTGTGTGTTCTATACATTGCTGAAGGCTCTCCCATCCAGACAATATCTGGAATGTCCAGACGATAAAACGAGGCCTGTTGTCGGCGGCAGATGCTACTCGTCTCAATTCACCTTCGTGTACTTGTGGGCCCCACCCAACATTTTTTTATTGACGGTTTCCAAAACTTGCTTATAACTTTTGATTCTAATAGTAATGTGTAGTCACAAAACTTTCATATCTTATTCAAACCCTTAGTGCAACATTCTGGGGGTCCGGAATTTCTTCTGCAATGCACCGTTTATTCTTGCAGTGCACAAAACAGTATATGTGTTTCCCGGGCAATACCCTAAAACGGGAGTCGGAAACCTTTTGCTGCGGCGGGCCGCGTCATCACGAAGTCGACGCAGTGGGGGCGGACAGCAAGTCACAAAGTGGGGGTAGGGGCAGGCAAAAAGGAAAACGATCTGCGCAAGAAGAAGAGGATGCCGAACAATGCCAATTGGAGTGCTGCCCAGTGTTCCTGTCTAACCCCATTTAAAGTCAAACCTGCGGTGTGGTCTGTGTGAGGAAGCGGCAGGGTCTAATGTCATGCCAGAGGCCGCCGACATCTCAGTTTAGCAGAAAAAATGGTCTGCTATTTGGCCAACTTTGAATACATATAGTACACGAGCTTTCAACAATATAGTTAGGGTTCGGAGTTTTCGGTTTAAACCGATAAAAGTACGCCGAATCCATTTTTGGAAATTCGGTTTTAACCGAAAAAGGTCAGTTTTTAGGTTTGGCATTTTTATTTAAACCGATAAAAACAGATAAAATTTCGTCGAATCCATTTTTTTTTAAATTCAGTTTTAACAGGAAAAGGTCACTTTGACCTTCCAGTAGTACCGCAGAGCCGTGGCGAAAAAGTGGAACGACAGTGTCTATCGAAACGTGTTCGAACGTATTGGATACACGGGTGCCATCACGACGTTTTGGTTTATTGTGCGCATCATCGATCGGAACCTGAAGTCCGAAATGCGCCATGACTTTGCCATGTACGAGCGTGTTTTCAAACTCGTTGCAAGGAAGACTAACTTGATGCAAGCTCTGCATCTTGTGTTGTGCTTCAAAACGTCGCACCGTGTCTCTTTCGGCGGATGTGCAAGGATCATCTGCTCCGGTGTCCGTTGGTGTTTATTTTATATTAACCGAAAAAAGACGATTAACTTTTGTGGGCATGAATATACGCCGAAAGAAACCGAAAATTGAATTTTATAATAAACACCGAAAAAAGTATGCCGAATTTCGGAACAATAGAAACCGAAAACGCGGAACCCTAAATATAATGGACGTATCTGGACCAGTCACTCCTGGCACTCTTCAGAAGTCCTCTTTGCAGCTATGACGATCTATAGGGGATGCACTGGCACCTAACAAAATGGCCATCAACTGGATGATTAGATTCTGGGGGAGCTTCAAAACGGTTTCAGAACGGGTAGACGACTAGATGATAACTTATTCGTAATCACTCAGTGCATAGAGATAGCAATGACAAGTCAAGGGCCATTATGGGTAGCATTTTGGACATCAAAGGGGCATATAACAACGGATCAGGAAAAACTCTGGGACCAAATGAAGGGATATGCGCTAGGGGGAACCATGGTTGGTTAAGTTTCTAAACGAGTTTATATGGAGAATACATGGTTATAACATGGGAAGCCGAAACTACAAGACCGGCAGCAATAAAAAGAGGAGTTAGACAGGGTTGCCCATTGTCTCCCCTGCTCTTTATGATAAACATCAGTGGGATTGAAAAAAGCTTAGAACAGTACAACCTAGGTTTTCACCTGGATTACATGGAGGAAGGACATAAAGTAAACCAAGTATTGCCAGGTTTAATGTATGCAGACGACATTGTACTTGTATCAGAAAGTCGTGAGACAATGCAGGAGCTGATTAGGATTTGCAGCAGGGAAGGGGACAGTTAAGGCCTAAAATTCAATAGGGGCTAATCGGGTATAATAATTTTCAATGACGAGAAGGGGGAACCCCTGGAGATACGGGACATGGTGATAGAACACATAGAAACATACAAAGTCTGGGAGTATGGCTAAGTGAGGGAAGAAAGTGTCTAAAAGAACATGAAGATTTTCTAATAAAGAAGGGGAAACGAGATTCAGCTGTTATGAAACACAGGGCTTCAATCTATAATAGGTATGAAGTCGTTAGGGGTGTATGGAAGGGAGTCATGGTGCCAGGACTGTCATTTAGGAATGCTGTATTGTGCATCAGGTCATAAATCTAGGCAAGTTTAGAGATACAGCAAAGGAGTGTGGGCAGGTTGGCGTTGGGGGCACATGAGAAGACACCAAATGAGGGAGTACAGGGGGATATGGGTTGGGTATCTTTCGAGAGTAGAGAAGTGATCAGTAAACTTTGAACAAAGACTAGCTGAAATTGAGGATATACGGTGGGCAGCGAAAGTGTACATCTATATGTGAAAAGTCTAAATACTACTAAGTGGAAAAGCCGAACCCGCGAGCCGAGATCTAAATATATTCAACGAGATGGGGAAGATCAGAGCGTATAAGTAGAGAAGCGAGTAAAGGAAACGGTGAGGAAATTGTGGGAAGAGAGAATGCAGGGGAAATCAGCCTTAACAATATACAGGGCACAAAAACAAGAAATAAAGAAGGAACATTTGTATGATAATTCAGTGGAGAGCTCGTTGGAGGCTGTTTGAAGCTAGAACCAGGGTGCTAAGAACGAAAACATATAGGGCTAAATTCCAGGAAATAGAAAACATGCAATTTTGAGGTGCACGGGGCGTCGTCCCACCCTCTTGGACGTGGGGATGACTATGGATCTGGAAGGGGCACTGGGATTCGCAGACATGGATGGACGAATGGATAGGGAAAGAATTGCGGTAGGAGATTGGAAGATGGGTGGAAAAAATCTAGGGAGGGGTAAAAATGCAGATAAAAATAAGCAATAGTAACACTTTAAAGGGAAGCTGAAACACTTCTTGAAAAAAACAAGTTAGAGGTGAATTCTGGCGTATTTTTATCCCGTGGATCTGAATATCACTTTTGTTTTCCCTGAAGATGCAACTAAAAGCGAGAAAAAGCGAAAAACATTCGACCAGTCGTGACGTCATACTAGGATCTTCGGGCCGCCAAGCGCGTGTCGCTCGTGTGTTCAGCGCGTGCAACGGCAAGCTTGCCAGGTATATTTCCCCGCACTGACACCAGTCGTGACGTCTCTTTCTGACCTTTCTGAAAATAGCAAGAGTGCGCGTGCATAGCTTTGACAGGCGCTGAAGATGCGCGAGAGCAGATATTCCGAACGCTCCTAGTGTGACGTCACGCCCCGGGAAGGAGGGGCTTCGGCGGTACTTTAAAAATTAATTTCTGAAGCCTCCGTGCACCAAATTGAAAAATAATCTTGATATTCCTGATCCTGGAGGTAGAATGAAGGCCATTGAAATGTTTTTTCTCAAATAGAGAACCGCTTCAGTTTCCCTTTAAAAAGAGGGGGGGGGGGGGGGGGGGGGAGGAGTAAAACAAAATTTATACAAATTTTAAAAGAGAAAAGATTACAATATGTTAGGCTAGGTGGCCCAAGCTGCACCCATTACAAAGGGTATAGCTACTACCGTCCACCCGTCCAGATCGTAGAACAACAGTACGGGGCTTGGTCTGAAGTAATCGTTAAACACGGGCAAAGAGCCTTACTGCTACTTTCACGTCGGGAAGGCACATGCATCTCGACGACCATTCGGGAGGACTAGGGAGGCGGGAAGCTTGAGGAGAAGGAGCAAACTGCTGAGGATGTCCCAGCTTGGTTAAAGAAATGCTCCCTTTCCGGGGACACCAGGCTGCTTGGAAGGCGTCTCCGACTGGCGCACGTCCCAAGTGTTGACCCAAAGGAAAAACGAGAGATGTTGCAGAAGTCGGAGCGTCACTCTGGTGGACGCCCCAATATCTCGCCAGCTACTTTGCCTATGCCAGCACCGCATCGAGGGAATGTCTCTCCGTACGCGCGACAACCTCACCGTGTGAGAAGGCACGCGCGGAGCCTCCTGCAAACTAAAGTTACGGCGGCTTCACGCGTGCACCCAACGGCCGGCGAGATCTATCTATCTTGGCGGTTTGTCTTACAAGTTCCCACAAAAAAGCGGGAGAGAATGTGCGTGTTACCGAAGCTTTCGAGGGAGTGTCGAGCTGCGAAGGGGCCCGCGGCAGAACGGGCGTCTGACGCATGTGCCAGTGCCGTGGCGGAGAACAATGCGACGTAAAAAGGTGCAAATCGGGGCGACCACGCGGTGAACACCAGTCGGGGATGTGCTCCAGGCACCATTCCAGTGGCGTGGCCAGGGGGAGAGTCTATGGGGTTTCGGCCCCCTCTTGAAAATTCAGCCGACCTCATAAAATATGTGTGCATTTTGACCCGACCCCCCCCCCCCCCGCACCTAAAAGTGGGACGTCCGAGCCACCTCGACCCCTCCCAAAAAAATTCCCGGCTACACCACTGTGCCATACTGGTAGAGTGCTTTTGCGTTAAAGTGGGTTTGTTAACCGGGGCTTTCCGTGCAGGTACCTCAAGTGACCGGGCAGGCCCCACGTCGTCCGCAGGATACGGAACCGGGTCGTGGAGAAAAAGAAGAATAAAGCGTCGTTATCAAATGGTGTCTCATGTTTGGCCAACATCAAGCACCGAGCTTAAAGTCGTCGGGGTGGTACATCTCGCTGAGGAGCCGGTACACGTACGAGGGCGCGTTGCCGCCGGAGTTTAGTACCAGCAGGGGTACCAGGTCTGGAGGCACGTAGTCGAAGGCCGGCGCCACGAGCTGCACGGCGCTGCTGGCCGTCTCGAAGGGTGCCACGCGCTCGGGCGACCCGAACCGCTGGAAGGCCTCCTGGTCCTCGGAGCACAGGTACTGCGGCGTGAGCTTGAAGGCGGGCGCGACCACAATGAGCGGCACGGCACATTGGCGGGCGGCCAGGGCGAGCGCATGGGCGCCGCAAGGCGCCTTGAGCCCTCCGTCGGCCATCACGCTATGGGTGCCGATGATGACCTTGCTGACGCGGGGCATGATGGCGAGGACCGCCGAGTCCGGCACCACGGTGACCCGGATGCCAGCTCGAGACAGTACCCTAGCCAGCTCCAGGCCCGAGAAGGACGGCGCAGACTCTGCGACCATGACCTGGAAGGTGCGTTGGGCCGCCGCCCGGCGGAGGAAGGCTTCGACGGTCCGGGAGCGCCCCGTGGTCATGATCACCTGTCCCGAGTGGATGTGCTCGAGGGCTTGGGCTGCGATGTTCTCGCGGCTCAGGGCGAGCTCGCGCTCGAGTTCGTCCAGGCTCTCGAGCAGCCGCTCCCTAAGTTCGGGCTGGGGCCGGCTGTAGTCGTCCACGGAGTCGCCCTTGGCCGACACGAGCTTCTGCAACGACTCGCTGTTGTCCCCTTCGACCTGTCGGCCGCAGCACATGCTCGCGTAGTCGTCACGAACCAGCTTGAGCACGCGGCGGACCACGTTTCCCACGGCGGTCTCGGTGGGGTCCACCTGCATCAGGGCCCTGCCTTCCTGCCGCAGCAGGTCGAGGAGTTGCTCGGCCACTTGCCAGGGTCGTTCTTTGACTAGCTTCACCATGACTGCTAAAGTGAACTGGGCCACCCGGCTGGACGTGTCCAGCAGGCTGTGGTCGGCGCCGTCCTGTTTCAGCAGGTCGCCCAGCTGTTGCACGTCGGAGATGTCGCTCATGGTGTCTTCACGCACGTCAGCAGCTAGGCCATACCAGCAGAACGTACAAAATGAACCGTGGACGCTTACCTCGGTGTCAGATTTCTTGCAGCACGCTGTGATTAGTGATTACTACAATACTGCGACGTTCAGACAGCGAAGGCAAAGGTCTGTCGACAGTGTACCAAGCGTACCAAGTGTACTACTATGGTGCCCGGAGCGCGTCTTCGACTGGTGTGTTGAGCGTCCCATCCCGCCCATACATCAAAAGTGGTCCCAAAGTGGCAACAAATGACGTCACAGAAACTTGAGTGTCATGTTGTTGCCTGTCGCGATCCTGGCGGTTGGTCGCAGAAATGCTGGCGAAAAGCACGAGTGAACGCGAGTGTTGCTGTCGTCACGGCGTCCCATCGTCCAGCTGTTTTAGCTTCTGTGGACTGTCAAAGTGGAGAGAGACCTACAGCAAAACAGGCGTCTGCTATACCCAGCACAACTGTTGAGACGCCGCCAGGTTCGCAATCAGTGATAACATGACATTTTAATGACGTCATCAGGCGGAAATCGAGGGACCACTTTTTTGGAGGCGGTAAACACACCAGTCGGAGACGTACTACTACCCGTACTACCAGTGCCCGGCTACTGCCATTAAAATCGATTTCTGAGCAAACTGGACGCTAAGCAGCGCTTCCGTGGTTGGAGGCGCTCATTACTGCAACGAATTGGCGACAAATTGTTCTATCAATAGATTGCAAAACTAAAACAAGGAACAAAAACCATGTTCATAAAATAGAGCAATAACGTTTCAATTATGACTTTCGACGTCCACCATCTCCATTGAGATCGTACATACACTAACTCTAGAGGAAAAGGTCCGCCATCTTCCCATGCATTCTGGCTGCCGCAAGCGGCGGAGCATGCAGGCAGACGACCTTCTGGGTCCCACACATGGTTACCAACTAGCCTCAGCCGCTAGATTTCACGGTCTTCCTAAAAATCATAGCAACATTGTTTGTTGTCACGAGGATGGAGGAATGGAGAAAAAAAGGGTTACCATCACAAAAAGGAGATTGGAAAACTGGTGGATACAGTCTAGGGAAAATGAAACAAGGACGAACAATTAGCACAGCTGGGGGTCAGGAGGGACAGAGGAATATTGGGACTCCCTCCCGCGTGGCTCCGGCACAAAGTCCCACACCTGTCCCCCAGTGGGTGTGGTTTAAGGAGGAACACCGACGAGGTTGACCAGAGGAAAATTGGCGACTCCCTCGCCCGGGGGAGGAGGCGGGGGGCGGTGTTTAATTTTTTTTTGCCCGATCCCCCAAAGGTCTTCCTGGGAAGTACTCTACCCGCCCGGTGATAGTTGCAGAGAGGTGAAGGGAAAAAAAAAAAAGGAAGAACAAATTTCTTAATTAAAAATTTTAAGGCTAGGTGGCGCAAGCTACCGCCCGATATAAAGGGAACAGCCAATATCAGAGGCCAATATCCATCTATCCATCCATCCATCCATCCATGATCTCTATGTCTATTTGCTGGATCGCGTTTGACCACTGATTAGACCTGTGCGCCGGTCAGAAATCGCCGGCGGCGGCGCGCCGGTGTTTGTACCTCCGGCGGCGGCGTGTTGACGGCGCGGGGATCAACGGACCGGCGGCGGCGCGGCGTGGAAGAGAGAGGGGAGGAGGGGTGTGTAAATTAGAGAGTGAGGAGGAGAGAGAGAAAGGAGTCGTTTGAATTTGGAAAACAAGATGCAAATAACCATAAAAAGGAACACGCTTTTTTTTTTTTTTTTTTGAGGAGTGCGTTTGTTAGATTGTAAGAGAATATGTCACCGGCTGGCAGCCGCGGCGCAAGATATTTCGCAAGATGATGACCGACGACAACAGGTATTTTATCACCGCGTTCCACCCCACCACGCGCTTGTCGCACGCCCCGTGCCTAACAAGTCGACCGAGCACGTTTTTCGATTTATAGAACTCGTACTCTCATTTGATACGCCGCAAGCAGTCATCACCGACAACGACAGGGTCCTAACCTCTCGTTCGGCTTCGCGGTACTTCGTCGACAGGCACATTCAGAGCATCCCTAACAGTACTTTACGTCCCCGAAGCTAACGGCTTTGTCGAACGCGTCAACGGAAAAATCCTTCCATGTCTGCGCGAAAGAACGTCAACGGCGACATCGACCATTGGAGCGATTATCTCCAGGCAACCAGCTTTCAAGTGAACCAGCAGCCGTACGCCGGACTCCAGACATCACCGTTCGAACTCCTGTTCAACTTTGTCCCACGTCGAGCAATGGAATTTTCCCCGCTTCCCGACGAGGTCGGCGACGTCCCGCGCGAACTGCGACGCTGCAAACGCGAACCTCGCTTACCTTCACAGCATGAAGCGTTCCTACGATGCAAAATATCGACCATGCTCCATACAGGGTCAGGGACAGGGTATGGTACACGAACGGCGTTCCTTCCTCGAAACTTGGCCTGCTTTTCCATGGACACTTAATTCATCACCAACGTGAACAATCAAACCTACACCATTTCCGGGTTTACCCCGCAAGGCACACCGGATTGCCGCCAAGCTGCCGCACGATAGCTCTTTTCTTTCTTTTTTTTATTTTTTTGTTTCACGAACAACCTGCAGCGATTGACGTCGATTTCAACCAACTCGCCTTGCTCCGCAGCAGATCTTCCGATTACAAGCGCATCACGCCGACGCTGCCCTCCACGATGGATAGACGCATAACAGAGGATCATGACAACATCTACAAAATCAATACTTCAGCTTGGGCGAGTTGGTTAAACATGCTAATACTTCGCAGCGCACAACAGACAACACACCATCAAAACAGATACACACAAAGAAACAACACTCACACAGCGCTGACTGTCAACTCTCGGATATATTAATCTTCGTTCTTATCTTTCACCCTTACGCACTAAAAAAGAAGAAGAAATAAATGTTAACCACGGAAGAACAGCGAAAGAAAAAAATAAAAAGAAAGGGGAAAGATTAATATAGGAAAGAAAGATGGAAAGAAATGGAAGAAAATAAGATCTAGTCCTACTACAGTAAAATTACTGAGGAGGTTTTCCTAAATAATATAACTCTTTTCTTGATAAGCTAATCGACGGGGTACTAACGCATACTCCGTCTAGCAGGTCTATGCTCGCGGCTTCGATGATTTCTCGAGTTAGTTTGTTGTTGCTTCGTCCCAGTACTGTGCAATTGCCCAGAAGGGGGGAACATCCACAATCTCTACAATGAATGCCCAGATGGCCTGAGTTAGCGTTAATGGCGTTGCAGTTATGTTCCCGGAGCCTGTCATTGAGACAGCGCCCCGTCTGCCCAACGTAACACTTCCCGCACGTAAGAGGGAACGAATATATCACTCCCTCTGCACAGGAAACGAACTTGGTCTTGTGATTTTTCGTGCAGCACTCTGTTCGAATAGGCGGCCCATTCACCCGCTTGCACAGGCTGGAAAGTCTCTGCGGAGCTGAGAAAACCACGTCGACGTTGACTCTGCTAGCTACTTTTTTAAGCTTGTGTGACATGTTGTGAATATAGGGCACTATAACAGGCCTTGTAGTGCGTTCTCTTTTTCGGTAGTTAGAAGCTTCGGCTTGCTTGACCTCCTTAAGTAGGCATTCAGAGACTGAAATTAATATCGACAAAGGGTATCCTGCTGAAACCAAGCGAGTTGTTTGCGTTTTGAAGCTCATGTCGGTCATGTGCACGCAGGATTTCTTGAGGGAGTTTTTTAGGCAAAGTTTTGCAATGCCTCGTTTAACAAGTTTCGAGTGTGCGGAACTATGATGAAGTAGTGGCTTTTTTGCCCTCGGTTCATAAGACCAGCAGATGTGACAGTTTTTAAGGAATAATCGAAGGTCTAAGAATCTTATGGAATGCTCGACCGGAAGTTCGTGGGTAAGTTTTAACGGAT